GATACCTTTAACGAAGATAAATAAATATAAGGTCACTGCTAAGTTGTATTGGTCTAATTATCGTATGCACTAGGATCACTGATAATTAAAGAAATATAAAGTGACCTAATTTTTCATGTACTAATCTATCACTATTTATAAGATATAAAAGAATACACGGAAAATAGGTAGTATCGTGCAACAATATTCAAAAATGGTACAGTCATGCATAGATAAAAAGCAAAACCAAAAATTAACATAAGTAAAAATAGCATTTATTTCACTTTGATATGAATTAACACATGAAGTCAACGAAATGATTGTGAAATCTTAAGCCCCCATTGGTTGGACGTAGAAACGATCATAATCGGCAGTCATTTGAACACATTGACTATATAGAGACTCGTTGAATTTCTCAGTCATCTCGTGAGAAAAGATTATTACGTCCGCAGTCGCTTCTAAAGTTTGACCTCTGTTATCGACAACTCGCCCCTGTACTTCCACAATGAAATTTTCCGGAGAAGTCTGAGATAAAATAAATAAGCATGACATTTTTATATAAAGCAAAGCTAGCAAATTAACAGCCATACATACCTGCAAAGGGGAAAGTAGGTGGCATTGCACTTCAGGTCCATCAACACACCTGACCAATAGGCTTTGTCCTGAAGAAGCAACCTGGATAGCTTTACCAATAATACAAACTTCCCGATTCACTAGGCTTGGAAGCATTGTTCCTAGAACACGAAAGCGAGCACCATATCTCATCTCTGCTTTTTCAGACATCTAATGGATGATAAAATCAGCATAACCAGGCGTAAAAAACACGTCAAAAAGAAATCATATTTGGTTCAATTCATATTTTATTCTATTTACAGCTAAAAATACAATATTCATTTATACATTGAGGCCAAATTCACGAAGACATCTTTTATGAGCTTCAATAAGATCAAAACACTGCTCTTCACCCTTAGAAATAATACACTCATCCCGACGCTTTCTTGTTTCCGGACACATGCAGCACATCTTCGGAGACTTACTATTCTCAGCGCTGCCAGCTTTTAATGAAGGATAGGAAGAGCTAGAAGACATGGCTAAAAACAAAAAGAAGCGGCTATTAACATATAAACTTAACAAAAAAACAAGATACGTGTTTTAGACAAAAGATCTATTGCAACTTGTGTAGAATACAAGAGTTATGGATTTAGCGTTCGCCGAAAAGTAAGGTCCCAATGCGAATAGTCGTACTCCCTTGCTTAATCTGTCATTCTTTTAAAAAATCGAATAGTTATACCGCTTGCTCGAAGTCCGTAGACATTCCCATGCTCAATTCAATGCAGCCAGGGTCGTCGGAGAGTAACTTAGCCAATTCCTGTTTACAGTCATATAGGATCTTTAGAAATAACAAGGGTAAATAAGTAACCTCAAAGTCAGAGTTAGCTTCTGATGAGTTAACACTATTTTCAAGACTACCGATCGTCATGAGACCAGATGTACGAAGCGACCTAAAATCCTCCTTGCACATTTTGTAAAATGAAAGAACATCCTTAGGAGAAATTCCATTTTTGCCTTACGTTAAAATTAACTGGCATACCATATTCTCCACTCGTATTGACCTGGACCATTACATTTAGCGGTGGACGACCAGTTGTGTCCCATCTCCTGTTAAGCTCGCGGGCGACATTAAGCGAAGAAATCGTTTGTACCATGTATAGGTTAGGTATTTCTAAACATACGTAATGATAAAATTACCGACAAGTCTTTTTATTTTATTTGATTGTAAGAGCCCAATGAAATGCCACTGAATATCAGGGCAATTTTCAAGAAGCTAGGTAGGCTAAGAGACCAATAGGCTGCAAACCTGTGGTGACGTACTCTTTTCAATTAACTCATTAATCTTGAAATCTAAATAATTAAGTTTTACATACATAATTTTCGCCAAAGGAGCGTTGACCTAAGTTGTACAATTCAATAATCATTTCAACTGGTTTGGTTTTTGATACAGCGACTAAATTAGGTACGTATAGCCCTGATCTTGAAGACTGAAAATAAGACATATATCATAGCTACACATTTATACGCCTCTTCGATTCTGTTAACAACATTAAGAAAACGAAACGAGGCGGATGTCATAGATGTAGAAATATCAG